AGGTCCGTGGTTCGAACCTGACTTCTCCATCTCGACTCCTCTGTCTAGGCTTGGGAAACGCCGCAGTATCCTAGCCCTCGTGCTTCCGTCTGGTGGCATGGCAGCTAGGCACCGAAAGGGTGCTACAGCTGAACGATTTATTTATTTTTATTATATATATATATTGTTTTGACCATTCTTAACATTTTTCCAACCAGAAGAAAAATGTAGGGAGTTTCGCACAGTTCAAAAATTCTCCTGGCACACTTGGTGGTTTTTCTGTTTGCGAAATCCACCTATAGCAGCCAGGAGATTTTCAAACCTCTAGTTCTAGGTCGAAACTCCAATTAGAAAGCAAATGGAAATCAGACACAGCTTGAGTGCTCCCGAATGGTGCTGCCTACAAACGAAGTGCAGATGAACTACTATACAATATGAGGAGAAAACCTTTTGATTTGTCTTCTGACTCAGACATGTATTAATTTACAGGGCATCACGCGTAACATGTTCGAGAAGTTTAGGCTGCCAGTGTTTCCTCGGAAATCTGCAAGAATACTTACGCTTGCACTTTCAGGATAACTCAGACAGTGGAATTCTCGTATGAAGACTTTGAAATAAGTTTCAAAGTGGCTGAGTTAAGAACATTAGATAATAGTCGAAGGACTGGCCTTGTCAGACCACCTTTGTGTGTTTATCACTTTATCTCCTCCTGTGGAGGCGGAACAACGACGCAGCTGTTTAAACGGGTATCCAATCAAATTCCGACGGGTTTTCTTCAGAGAACAACATGTGATAACAAACCAGCTGCTCGATACAGAACATCGAGCCAACGTTGTAACGTGTTGTAAACTCATCAACAAAAATCCCATCAACGCTGTTGAAATTAACCAGACCTAAAAGTTTAGTCACTGTTGGAGCCATCTTCATTCGTACTTACAGATTCCAACACTGTAGTTTGAAGCGCTTTGAACATATAGGGGCACTCACGCGACCAGAAAACAACACCTTAAACCCCAGGTGACTCACAAACACCATATCACTTGTGACGAACAATTTGACCCTTTACTTTGTTTTTCAGGCCGATAGGTCTTGGTCCGGTTGCTTATATCTGTCCTCATATATGTCTGAATCCACTCATACGATGTCGTTCACATCAATAACAGAATAATCGAGACTGACTGGGACACGGAGTGTCGACGACTGTATCCGCAGTTAGCGAGAACTGTGACGCTGGTGAAGCTGTCGTGTGGACGTTGGGACTGTCGGTTTAGATTTCCCATTAAAAATAAACCACTGTATACTGACTGTGGCATGTCAGGGGGTCAGATAAGGCGACAATGGCTGTCGTCAGGGGGGGGGGAATAAAAGTAAGAAACTAAGTTGCCAGTTTTGTTTGAGCAGCTGGAATACAAGGCGCATTGTTGCATGGTTAGGAGGCATGGTCACAAGGGTTAGAGAATCTGAGAAATTTTCAAGTCTCTAATCACCGATTTCTTCAACCAGTAAGATCACAATGAGGTGATCGAGTCCTTACTGAGGTAGAGTGAAGCTCCATCAAGGAATTCGGCTCTATGAACTAAGGCGACTTGGTCATGTGCCACGCATACCGCGTCAGTCTGTCAAGAAGAGCGTTGTGTTACGCTGTATTACGTTGTGTTATGACTTAGCATAAGAGAATGAAGGTGCTAGTTGCCTTCCAGGATGGGGGTCGCGTGACTCTCATTGCGCTTGGCTGGAGACAGTGACAGGTATGGCGGCTAACCAATATCAATGGCGTTCACACTGTCAGCTTCCAGTCACATTATCTGACTGCGCATTGACTGCGTAGGCACCTCCAACGTTTGAGGTAGGCTAGCCTTAGGTCCCCTTCTTATCTCATTTTCTTCTTTATTCTGCTTTATTCAGACAGAATGACACGGCTGTACAGCTGTGAAGCACCAGGGTTCCCTCTCACGTTGATTTCAATGATGATGATGATGATGATGATGCACTCTGATATAGTCCTGAAAAGACTATAGCTGAACAGAAGTAACTGCTATTTGTCTGTAAACTGCATAGACTACAGCTACATAGTCAATCGTCATATAAACGACGACAAATGGACCTAATCGAAAACCTAATGATGGTCATGCCTGCGTTGTTAAGCGGGGAAGCAAAGTGAACAAGATTCAATAGTCGAAAAGTAACGCGCAAATCTACGGGTTGCATCCTCTCTTAGTAGATACCAAGGGTAATACAACCTTCTCCATGCGTCGTCTAATCGGGTTTTTCGGAAGCGTACGGTATCACAAAAATTGGGAGGTGGGCACCATCGTAAAAAACTGTAACCCACAGGTTATTACCTGTGGGTCGTTCCAAGCTCGGGAAAACTTCAAACAAGATGTTTGATAACGTGATTCATGTGAGCCGCATCGAGTGGACACTCAATGTGAAATCGTATTGTGTACCCTTGTAATACCACACTGCCGTACACTCTCCTGCAGGTTACCCGCTTATTCCCTCTCTTTAAGGGCATTTACCTTCTTCCTCCATTCCGATATTGGATTGATGGGCCTGGCTATTGTCTTGAGGAGCTCCGAGTGTCTTTGCTGAAAGTATTCTGAAGAGCCCTGGCGATTTTTTGAAGGAATTCTTGTAGTCCGGTCATTTGCTTTTGTGGCTGACGAGTGAACAAACAGTTCGGATCCCATTTTCTCGAGCCACTGTGTTTCAGTGAAAATAACCGCTGAACTTGTGCGATTCTATTATTATGGCTGGTTGGCACTCAGCTTCGTGCTTCTCGCACGAGCAAGAAAGCTCTGTATGACATCCAAGTATTGATTGTGCATGGGTGAGTCGATATTAGACCATTTTTGATTGAGAATACGACGTTCAGAGGATCTCCATAGAGCCCGCACTGGTCCACAGATATGGGTTTGGTGCATAAGCTCAACATCCTGTAATGACCACAACTTCAGGAGGAGATTTCGGAGTTTCAATTGAGATTTTGTTCTGTAAGTGAAGCCGGCTCGTAATGAAAAGCCGAGAGGTGTTGTACAACTGCTTCATCCTTATTTGGAGGCATCAGTAATGCGAAGTTCACTAGTCTAAAGTTTGACGGTGAGTCAGAAAAAGCACGTCTGTAGTGGTAAAAAAGGACGACCCATACATTGATAGATGAGGATTTACAGTGCTACGTGGTATGAAGCAGATGACGCGCGGCCGACTGACCATTCAAACCAGTATATAGATTGGACTGTGCGACACTCTTGAGCAAAGCGATTGTCATGAACAGACGGGAAATACAGCACAACGTAGATCTTACCTCCACATCTGCAGCTAAGTCAGAATCAGGCTCGACGAGAGCTTTTCGTTTGGGCGAATTTTGCGGATTCACGTTGATGTCCAGTCTCCGTACAGAGTGTGGAGATGAGGACCGTGTCCAACGATCAGACACACCATGATTAGGAATTGGAATGGCACTGGAAGAGGAGGACACACAGGTCGCAGCGCTGCCAGAGAACTGAGCTGGGTTCTGTGATGAAGAATCAGTGAACCAAGGGTGTTGAAATAGCTCTCGTGTGGACGGACGTTTAGCCGGGACTTTGGCCAGCATGACCCGGATCAGACGTTCACAACCTGGTGGGGGAGAAATAAGAAGTACGAAGAAAAGAAACGAAATTGCGTACAATAAGTATTTCAACTGATCACCCTAGCACGTATTCATTAACACCATCAATGACAAGTTTCGGTTGCCTGCTACCATTATCGCACCAAACCGCAGTAATGTGGGGGTATCCGGGCAATGGCGTAGACACTTTACACCTCTCAAGTATTTATCAACGGCTGTCGCATTTTTGCATAGTAACGTCCGAAAGCAAGCAACGAAGTGTCTGATGGTGGTCGACGGATGAATATGCAGCATACGGTTATGGAAGCTTTTGGCTGTCATAAGACCACTCTAGTCAGCTCAATAGTACCACTACTATCGTTTACATTTGAAGAGCATGGTCACAAACAAAAACACTAAATCCCAGCGATGGATGTGGAAAGGCGTACAGCAGAATATTAGATAAAACGGGCGAAGCGCCCCGTTCGAAGGCTTGCCACCAACAGTTCCAGTGAGGCAAGATGAACCTCAACGTAAGTGAGAATGTTTGGTATGGAAACACTCGTGCAGAGACCGGCAACCGAAGAA